GTGGTGATGATGATGATGTTGGTGGTGGTGATGATGATGGTGGTGGTGGTGATGATGATGATGGTGGTGGTGATGATGATGGTGGTGGTGGTGATGATGATGATGGTGGTGATGATGGTGGTGTTGATGGTGGTGATGATGGTGGTGTTGATGGTGGTGGTGGTAGTGGTGATGATGATGATGGTGGTGATGATGGTGGTGATGATGGTGGTGATGGTGGTGATGATGGTGGTGGTGATGATGTTGGTGGTGGTGATGATGATGGTGGTGATGATGGTGGTGATGATGGTGGTGATGGTGGTGGTGATGGTGGTGATGATGGTGGTGGTGATGAAGTTGGTGGTGGTGATGATGATGGTGGTGTTGATGGTGGTGATGATGGTGGTGGTGATGATGGTGGTGGTGGTGGTGATGATGGTGGTGGTGGTGGTGATGATGATGATGGTGGTGATGATGGTGGTGGTGATGATGGTGGTGGTGGTGATGATGGTGGTGGTGGTGGTGATGATGATGGTGGTGGTGATGGTGGTGATGATGGTGGTGGTGATGATGATGGTGGTGGTGGTGATGATGATGGTGGTGGTGATGGTGGTGATGATGATGGTGATGGTGGTGATGATGGTGGTGATGATGATGATGGTGATGATGGTGGTGATGATGGTGGTGGTGATGATGATGGTGGTGGTGATAATGATGGTGGTGGTGATGATGATGGTGGTGGTGATGACGGTAGTGATGGTGGTAGTGATGATGGTGGTGATGATGATGATAGTGATGGTGGTGGTGATGCTGATGGTAGTGATGGTGGTGGTGATACTGATGGTAGTGATGGTGGTGGTGATGCTGATGGTAGTGATGATGATGGTGGTGGTGATGGTGGTGGTCATTGTGGTCAGTTTGGAATCTCGCTGTCATCTTCACAGAGTCGCATTCTGACCCTCAACCCACCCAACCGCACCCACCGTGTCTCGTACACACGACTGGACCATCCACATTTGAGGTGATGTTGGTCGGGTGGAAGATCGCCTCGACACGAATGTTGTGTCGTCAAAGCCGCCACCACCCGACACGCGACCAATGTAGCAACAACCGGTTTGCGTGCTGTGCGGGTAACAATTTTGGCTCCCCCCCACCCACCCACCCGTCCCTCCTCCTCCCTCCTCCCCCCTCCCCCCTCCCCCTTCTCCCCTGCCCCCTAACTCCCCCCTCACCCCCCTCGCTCCTCCCCTCCTCCCCCCTCCTCCCCCCTCTTCTACCCCCCTCCTACCCCCTCCTCCCCCCTCCCCCTTCTCCCCCCTCCCCCTTCTCCCCTGCCTCCTCACTCCCCCCTCGCTCCTCCCCCTCCTACCCCCTCCTCCCCCCTCCTCCCCGGTCCTCCCCCCCCATTCATCCTTTCCAAGCATCCGAGGTGATTTGCGTGTGGGTGATTGAGTGGGTGGATGATTGAGTGGGTGAGTGAGTGGGTGGATGAGTGGGTGGGTGAGTGGGTGGGTGAGTGAGTGGGTGATTGAGTGGGTGAATGAGTGAGTGGGTGAGTGAATGAATGAATGAGTGGGCGGATGAGTGACTGGGTGGATGAGTGGGTGGTTGAGTGGGTGGGTGAGTGGGTGGGTAAGTGAGTGGGTGGGTGAGTGGGTGGGTGAGTGAGTGGGTGAGTGGGTGAATGAGTGGGTGGATGAGTGAATGGGTGGATGAGTGGGTGGGTGAGTGGGTTGGTGATTGGGTGGGTGAGTGGGTGATTGAGTGGGTGGGTGAGTGGGTGGGTGATTGGGTGGGTGATTGAGTGGGTGGATGAGTGGGTGAATGACTGAGTGGGTGAGTGAATGAATGAATGAGTGGGTGGATGAGTGAGTGGGTGGATGAGTGGCTGGGTGAGTGGGTGGGTGAGTGAGTGGGTGAGTGAATTAATGAATGAGTGGGTGGATGAGTGAGTGGGTGGGTGGATGAGTGAGTGGGTGAGTGAATGAAGGAGTGGGTGGATGAGTGAGTGGGTGGGTGGATGAGTGAGTGGGTGGGTGGATGAGTGGGTGGGTGGGTGGGTGAGTGGGTGGATGAGTGAGTGGGTGGATGAGTGAGTGGGTGGATAAGTGAGTGAGTGAGTTGGTGGATGAGTGGGTGAGTGAGTGAGTGGGTGAGTGAGTGAGTGGATGAGTGAGTGAGTGTATGAGTGAGTGAGTGGATGAGTGAGTGAGTGGGTGAGTGAGTGAGTGGGTGAGTGAGTGGATTAATGAGTGAGTGAGTGAGTGGATGAGTGAGTGAGCGGGTGAGTGTGTGGATAAATGAGTGAGTAAGTGAGTGACTGGATGAGGGAGTGTATGAGTGAGTGAGTGAGTTGGTGGATGAGTGAGTGAGTTGGTGGATGAGTGAGTGGATGAGTGTGTGAGTGGATTAATGAGTGAGTGAGTGGATGAGTGAGTGGGTGGATGAGTGAGTGAGTGGGTGGATAAGTGAGTGAGTGGGTTAGTGAGTGAGTGGATCAGTGAGTGAGTGGATGAGTGCGTGAGTAGGTGAGTGAGTGGATGAGTGAGTGAGTGGATGAGTGAGTGAGTGAGTGTATGAGTGAGTGGGTAGATGAGTGAGTGGGTGGATGAGTGAGTGAGTGTGTGGATAAGTGAGTGAGTTGGTGGATGAGTGAGTGAGTGGGTGAGTAAGTGAGTGAGTGGATGAGTGAGTGAGTGGATGAATGAGTGAGTGGATGAGTGCGTGAGTGGGTGAGTGAGTGAGTGGATGAGTGAGTGAGTGGATGAGTGAGTGAGTGTATGAGTGAGTGGGTGGATGAGTGATTGGGTGGATGAGTTAGTGGGTGGGTGGATGAGTGAGTGGGTGAGTAAGTGAGTGAGTGGATGAGTGAGTGAGTGTATGAGTGAGTGGGTGGATGAGTGAGTGGGTGGATGAATGAGTGGGTGGGTGGATGAGTGAGTGGGTGAGTAAGTGAGTGGATGAGTGAGTGAGTGGATGAATAAGTGAGTGTATGAGTGCGTGAGTGGGTGAGTGATTGAGTGGATGAGTGAGTGAGTGGGTGAGTGAGTGGGTGGATGAGTGAGTGGGTGGGTGGTTGGATGAGTGAGTGAGTGGGTGAGTGAGTGAGTGGGTGAGTGAGTGAGTGGGTGAGTGAGTGTGTGAGCTGCTGCTGTGTGGTCCTATAGCCTAGGGGACACCCCCAGTGGCAGCTGTCCCTGTGTCATCCCAACCCGAGTGATGTAATGTTTATTTATGCATTCACTTTAAAAGTTTGACACCATTGAAGTGGGCGGGGACATTGAAGTGGGCGGTGACTATGCAAATAAGATGCCTGCGGGGCGTGGCCACCCTGATGAGTACCCGCCCGCCCCCCGCCCCGATTCGGTAGAATTGGAAGTGGGCGTGGCTATGTTAATGCTCAAACCGCGCGGGCGTGGCTATGTTAATGAACCGTCTCAGTCGCGACGATTGGGAGGGGGTAGGCGGGGCTATGTTAATGAGATAACCGTGTAGGCGTGGTTATGTTAATGACTGGGGCGGTGCCTGTGATAATTGGCAGGGCGGGGGATATGTTAATGAGTGGGGCGGGGGCTACGACTCAAATGAGACCGCTGAGTGGGTGGATGCTGGGGGTGGGTGGGGTGGATAGGGTGGGGACCCCGGGGGGAGGGGCTCGGAGGGAGTGGGCAGGAGGAGGGGACGGGGGGGAGGGGCTCGAGGAGAGAGGGGAGGGGCTCGGAGGGAGATGAGGGAGTGGGGAGGGGCACGGGGGCGGAGGAGGGGAGGGGCTCGGGGGGGGGAGGGGCTTGGGGGGGAGAGGGGGAGGGGCTTTGGGGGGGGAAGAGGGGGAGGGGCTTGGGGGGGAATTGGGGGAGGGGCTTGGGGGGGAGAGGGGGAGGGGCTTGGGGGGGAGAGGGGGAGGAGCTTGGGGGGGAAGAGGGGGAGGGGCTTGGGGGGGGAAGAGGGGGAGGGGCTTGGGGGGCGACGGTGAGGGGAGAAGAGGCTGAGGGGAGGGGCACGGGGGGAGGGAGGAAGGTGAGGGGAGGGGCTCGGGGGGGGAGTCGCTCGTGAGGGGGTGGGGGGTGTGCACGAGGGGAGGGGCTCGGGTAGAGGAGGCTGAGGGGAGGGGCTCGTGGGTGGGGGGGGGGAGGGGGGAGGGGCTCGTGGTGGTTGGGGGGAGGGGCTCGTGGTGGGGTGGGGGGGAGGGGCTTGTGGTGTTGGGGTGGGAGGGGGGGAGGGGCTCGTGGGGGTGGGCTCTTGGTGGTGGGGGGGAGGGGCTCGTGGTGGTGGTGGGGGGGGAGGGGCTCATGGTGGGGGGGAGGGGCTCATGGTGGTGGTGGGGGGGGAGGGGCTCATGGTGGGGGGGAGGGGCTCATGGTGGGGGGGGAGGGGCTCGTGGTGGTGGGGGGGGGGCTCGTGGTGGTGGGGGGGCTCTTGGTGGTGGGGGGGAGGGGCTCGTGGTGGTGGTGGGGGGGAGGGGCTCATGGTGGTGTTGGGGGGGGGAGGGGCTCATGGTGGGGGGGAGGGGCTCATGGTGGGGGGGAGGGGCTCGTGGTGGTGGTGGGGGGGGGGGCTCGTGGTGGTGGGGGGGCTCTTGGTGGGGGGGAGGGGCTCGTGGTGGGGTGGGGGTGGGGGGGAGGGGCTCGTGGTGGGGTGGGGGTGGGGGGGAGGGGCTTGTGGTGGTGGGGGGGAGGGGCTCGTGGTGGTGGGGGGGAGGGGCTCGTGGTGGTGGGGGGGAGGGGCTCGTGGTGGTGGGGGGGAGGGGCTCTTGGTGGTGGTGGGGGGGAGGGGCTCGTGGTGGTGGGGGGGAGGGGCTCGTGGTGGTGGGGGGGAGGGGCTCTTGGTGGTGGTGGGGGGGAGGGGCTCTTGGTGGTGGTGGGGGGGAGGGGCTCGTGGTGGTGGGGGGGAGGGGCTCTTGGTGGTGGTGGGGGGGAGGGGCTCTTGGTGGTGGTGGGGGGGAGGGGCTCGTGGTGGTGGTGGGGGTGGGAGCCGCCATGTTGGGTCCCGGTCCCCGTGTCCGTGTTGAGGCGGCGGCAGCAGCAGCAGCGGCGTCACCGTGAGGAGGAGGTGGAGGGAGGAGGAGGAGGCCTGCGGCTCGCTCACGGCCCTGACGAGGAGGTGGTGGAGGAGGAGGAGGTGGAGGAGGAGGAGGAGGTGCGCTAGAGAGACGCCGTGTGGACGTGAGAAGGAGGAGGTGGGGATAGACACACACAGAGACACAGAGACAGACAGACAGAGACAGCCCTACGGAAGAGCTCAGCTGCTGCTGCTGCTGCTGCTGCGACTCTGGCAAGGAGGAGGAGGAGGAGCTGATTCAGAGAGACAGAGACACAGACAGAGAGACACAGAGAGAGAGACACGGAGAGAGAGACACGGAGAGAGATACAAAGGCGGGCGGGTGAGTGTGGGGCGCTGAGGGAGGCGAGAGAGAGAGAGCGGGAGACGTAGTGGTTGGTGAGGCCTACGGCTGAATAGCGAGTCTAATTTATCTCTTAATATTATAGATATATAAACACACATCTATAGAGAGATATAGACACACACAGAGAGAGATATAGAGAGATGATAGATCTATCTATAGAGAGATAGAGAGAGGGAGACGGAGTGGTTGGTGAGGCCTACGACTGAATAGCGAGTCTAATGTATCTCTTAATATTATAGATATATAAACATCTATAGAGAGATATAGACACACACAGAGAGAGATATAGAGAGATGATAGATCTATCTATAGAGAGAGATGGACAGAGAGAGAGAGAGCGCGGGAGACGGAGTGGTTGGTGAGGCCTACGGCTGAATAGCGAGTCTAATGTATCTCTTAATATTATAGATATATAAACACACATCTATAGAGAGATATAGACACACACAGAGAGAGATATAGAGAGATGATAGATCTATCTATAGAGAGAGATAGACAGAGAGAGCGGGAGACGTAGTGGTTGGTGAGGCCTACGGCTGAATAGCGAGTCTAATTTATCTCTTAATATTATAGATATATAGACACACATCTATAGAGAGATATAGACACACACAGAGAGAGATAGAGAGATGATAGATCTATCTATAGAGAGATAGAGACAGAGAGAGAGAGCGGGAGACGGAGTGGTTGGTGAGGCCTACGGCTGAATAGCGAGTCTAATTTATCTCTTAATATTATAGATATATAAACATCTATAGAGAGATATAGACACACACAGAGATAGAGATATAGAGAGATGATAGATCTATTCGTATAAAGAGATAGACGGAGAGAGAGAGCGGGAGACGTAGTGGTTGGTGAGGCCTACGGCTGAATAGCGAGTCTAACATATCTCTTCATATTGTAGAGATATATAGACACACAGATAGGGAGAGATAGAGCTATTTGTATATAGAGATTTAGATATAGAGAGTTGGACATAGCGTGAGGAGAGTGAGGGGAGAGAGAGTGGTGAGGCCTACGACTGAATAGCGAGTCTAAAATATGTCTTGTATTGGAGAGATATAGACACAGAGAGATATTTAGAGAGATGTCTAGAGATAGACAGAGAGGAGAGAGCAGGAGAAAGATATAGAGAAAGATCTACACATATTTAGAGAGACAGAGAAAAGAGAGAGACAGAGAGCGAGACAGACACAGAGACAGGCAGAGAGACACAGAGACAGATAGAGAGAGACACAGAGACAGACAGAGAGACAGAGAGGCAGAGAAAGAGAGAAAGACAGAGAGAGAAAGAGAGACACAGACAGAGACACAGACAGAGACACAGACAGAGACACAGACAGAGACACAGAGACACAGACAAAGAGAGAGACACAGAGACAGAGAGACAGACAGAGAGACACAGAGACAGATAGAGAGAGACACAAAGACAGACAGAGAGACACAGAGAGGCAGAGAAAGACAGAGAGAGACAGACAGAGAGAGACAGAGAGAGAGACACAGAGACAGACAGAGAGAGACAGAGAGAGACGCAGAGAGACAGACGGAGAAAGACGCAGAGACAGAGAGAGACAGACAGAGAGAGACAGATAGAGAGAGACACACAGAGAGAGAGAGAGAGACAGAGAGAGATACACGGAGAGGGATAAGAGAGAGGGAGATGGTCCCTCTGGATTTGAATCGAAGTCTAAATATCTCTCTGTATTAGACGGGGCAGATACACAGAGATCAATACACAGGGAGCGATATAGAGAGAGAGAGATGCATAAATAGAGATACATAGAGATAGATGCAGAGCTAGATACACAGAGGGATACAGAGATATATAGAGATACAGAGAGAGATAGAGATAGATGCAGAGCTAGATACACAGAGGGATAGAGATATATATAGAGATACATAGAGATAGATGCAGAGCTAGATACACAGAGGGATAGAGATATATAGAGAGAGATACAGAGAGATAGAGAGATGCAGAGCTAGATACACAGAGGGATAAAGATATATAGAGAGATACATAGAGATAGATGCAGAGCTAGATACACAGGGATAGAGATATATATAGAGATACATAGAGATAGATGCAGAGCTAGATACACAGAGGGCTACAGAGATATATAGAGAGATACAGAGAGAGATAGAGGAAGTTAGAGATGTAGAAATTGAGGGTTTATTGTGAAAGCAGAGAGTACAAGATAAGCCAACAACAATAACAATATCTTCCCTGCTGTCTGTCTGTCTCTGCATCCAGCGGTTACCATCGCGGGTCGTGAACCAACTTCCTCCGGTGCACAGGAGATCGACGATATCCCTCGAGAGAGCGAGACAAAGAAGTTAAGCAGGATATTATATCATCATCATCAGGAGATTAAATATAATCAGGAGATAACAGCCAGATAGTGGGAAGGTGGTGGTGGGGGGGGGGAGATCCCATCTCGTAACTTGAGGCAGGAGAGATTTAAAGAAAGATAAGGACTATACTTTGGGAGATTATAGAGAGTGGGTACATTTTTTAAATAAAGTTAGGGGACATAGGGGGAGATAACCGCAGAGTAATATTTAGATGTATAGAAATATGGTTTGATGTTCTACCACGGGAGGAGATGATAGGTAGCTAGCTAGCTAAGAAGATTCATATCTATTGAAGAGTAAGATTATATATATAGAGAGCTAAATAGTGGGCGGAGAAGATAGATTATAGAGAGCAGAAGATATTTGGATGAGCGAGTGTGAGAGTTGACGCAGATTTATTATTGGTAGGACATTCAGGTGGAAGGTTGGGCATTCAGGTAGAGGGTAAGACGCGTATAGGTTAGATGAGATAGGTCTATTGCAACAGGCAAAGATATAGGTTAAAGATAACCTATTGGAACATAAGATCTATAGGATACAATATAACCTATTCGAAGAGGAGATAGACAATATAAGATAACCTATTGGAACAGGAGGATTTATATAAGACGTAATATAACATAGCTGTTTTGGAACATAAATATATAGGATAAAAGACAACCTATTGGAACAATATATAAGGTATAAGATAGGTCTATTGTAACGGAAGGTAGGATATAAGATAGGAACAGTGGAACAAGATATCTTGAGGTGGAGAGATATCGAGCTGAGAAGATACCAAGCCAGGAGGAGGATCTGTGGAAGACTCAGAAGGAAGACTGAAACACCGCAGAGGCTGGAGAGATATCTTCCCGGGACATCTCCTGAGCGGAAGTTTACCGACAACATAAACATCAACAACACCACCACCACCATCTCCACATCACCTTAAACATCATCATCATCATAACCACCACACCACCATCACCCGGACCTCCACATCATCATCTGCACATCACCACTACACCACTAACACCACCATCATCATCACCAACACTACCACACCACCACCTTCGACGAACACCATCTTCACCACCACCACCACGTAATCACCACCATCACTGCCACCGCTGTCGTGAACAACAGCAGCGGGATCTGTACATCGCCCATCTCTGGACATAAACTCTGCGTGCCGCCACTGGAGATCGACACCAGAGGTTGTAGAGGTGGAGGAGGAGGTGGTGGAGGCAGTGGAGGAAGTCCATCTCGTCACCCCCCACAGCACTGTGCTGAGCTGAATCGGGAGCAAGTGGCTGGACATTGATGAGGTGAGCGTTGCTGATGATGATGGTGGTGGTGATGATGATGATGACGATGACGGTGGTGGTGGTGGTGGTGGTGATGATGATGATGGTGGTGGTGGTGGTGGTGATGATGATGGTGGTGGTGATGATGATGGTGGTGGTGGTGATGGTGGTGGTGATGGTGGTGGTGGTGATGATGGTGGTGATGATAGTGGTGGTGGTGATGATGGTGGTGGTGGTGATGATGATGGTGGTGGTGGTGATGATGGTGGTGGTGATGATGATGATAATGGTGGTGGTGGTGGTGATGATGGTGGTGGTGGTGGTGATGATGGTGGTGGTGGTGATGATGATGGTGGTGGTGATGATGATGATGGTGGTGATGGTGGTGGTGACGGTGGTGGTGGTGGTGATTATGATGATGATGATGGTGGTGGTGGTGGTGGTGATGATGATGGTGGTGGTGGTGGTGATGATGATGGTGGTGATGACAGTGGTGGTGGTGGTGATGATGGTGGTGGTGGTGGTGATGATGATGGTTGTGATGCTGATGGTGCTCGTGCTGATGGTGCTGATGATGATGTTGGTGATGGGGTAACTGGTCGTGTTAACTGACGAGGTGTTATGGGTGAGTCTGTGGGTCTTCATGTTACGATGAGTATGGGTCTCTGTGCGTCTATGGGTTGTCTCTGTTACTGTGCGAGTCTGTGGGTTGTGTCTATGTTACTGTGTGAGTCTATGGGTTGTGTCTCTGTTACTGTGTGAGTCTATGGGTTGTGTCTCTGTTACTGTGTGAGTCTATGGGTTGTGTCTCTGTTACTGTGTGAGCATATGGGTTGTGTCTCTGTTACTGTGTGAGTCTATGGGTTGTGTCTCTGTTACTGTGTGAGTCTATGGGTTGTGTCTCTGTTACTGTGTGAGCATATGGGTTGTGTCTCTGTTACTGTGTGAGTCTGTGGGCTGTGTCTATGTTACTGTGTGAGTCTGTGGGTTGTCTATGTTACTATGTGAGTCTGTGGGTTGTCTATGTTACTGTGTGAGTCTGTGGGTTGTGTCTCTGTTACTGTGTGAGTCTATGGGTTGTCTCTGTTACTGTGTGAGTCTATGGGTTGTGTCTCTGTTACTGTGTGAGCATATGGGTTGTGTCTCTGTTACTGTGTGAGTCGATGGGTTGTGTCTCTGTTACTGTGTGAGTCTATGGTGCTCTCTGTTACTGTGTGAGTCTATGGGTTGTCTTTGTTACTGTGTGAATCTATCGGTTGTCTATGTTACTGTGTGAGTCTGTGGGTTGTCTATGTTACTGTGTGAGTCTATGGGTTGTATCTCTGTTACTGTGTGAGTCTGGGTTGTGTCTATGTTATTGTGTGAGTCTGTGGGTTGTCTGTGTTACTGTGTGAGTCTATGGGTTGTGTCTCTGTTACTGTGTGAGTCTGTGGGTTGTGTCTATGTTACTGTGTGAGTCTATGGGTTGTCTATGTTACTGTGTGAGTCTGTGGGTTATCTATGTTACTGTGTGAGTCTGTGGTGCTCTCTGTTACTGTGTGAGTCTATGGGTTGTGTCTCTGTTACTGTGTGAGTCTATGGGTTGTGTCTATGTAACTGTGTGAGTCCATATGTTGTTTATGTTACTGTGTGAGTCTGTGGGTTGTCTATGTTATTGTGTGAGTCTATGGGTTGTCTTTGTTACTGTGTGAGTCTGTGGTGCTGTCTGTTACTGTGTGAGTCTATGGGTTGTCTATGTTACTGTGTGAGTCTATGGGTTGTGTCTCTGTTACTGTGTGAGTCTGTGGGTTGTGTCTCTGTTACTGTGTGAGTCTATGGGTTGTGTCTCTGTTACTGTGTGAGTCTATGGGTTATCTTTGTTACTGTATGAGTCTGTGGTGCTCTCTGTTACTGTGTGAGTCTGAGTTTCTATGTTAGTCTATTGAATTTTATGTTACTGTGTGATTTTCTTGGTCTCTGAGTGTTTCAATGCTACAGTGAGTCTATGGTGTTTGTGTGAGTTTATGGGTCTCTGTTACTGTATGTGTCTCGATGTTGCTGTGTGAGTCTGGGTATCTGTGTGGGTCTATGGGTCTATGTTACTGTGTTAGTCTGTGGGTCTGTGTGAGTGTTTCTTACTGTGTGAGTCTGGGTATCTGTGAGTATTTGGGTTGCTCTGTTACTGTGTGAGTCTATGGGTCTGTGTGTGAGTCTACGGGTCTCTGTTACTGTGTCAGTCTATGGGTCTCTTACTGGATGAATCTGGATCTGTGTGAGTCTATGGGTGTTTGTGTGACTTTATGGGTCTCTGTTACTTTGCGAGTCTCTTTCTATCTTACTGTGTGAGTCTATGGGTAGCTGTGTGGGTCTATGGGTCTCTGGTACTGTGTGAGTAATTGGGTATCTGTGTGAGTCTACGGGTCTCTGCGTGAGGCTATTTATGTTCATGTTACTGTGTGAGTCTATTGGATCTCTAAGTTACTGTGCGAGTCTATGGCTATCTGTGCGTCTATGGGTCTCTTTTATTGTGTAAGTCTGTGGGTCTCTATGTTACTGTATGAATCTGGGTCTGTGTGAGTCTATGGATATTTTTGTGAGTTTGTGGGTCTCTGTGTGAGTCTATGGGTCTCTATGTGACTGTGAGTCTATTTGTCTCTGTTACTGTCAGTCTTTTTCTCTATCTTCCTGTGTGAGTCTATAGGTCTCTGTGAGTTCATGGTTCTCTATTTTACTGTGTGAGTCTGTGGGTCTCTGTGTAAGTCTGGGTCTCTACGTTACTGTGTGAGTCTATGGGTATCTGTGTGAGTATATGGGTCTCTATGTTACTGTGTGAGTCTATGGGTCTCTGTTACTGTGTGAATATTTGGGGCTCTGTTACTGTGTTAATCTATGGGTAGCTGTGTGAGTATGGGTAGCTGTGTGAGTCTATAGGTAGCTGTGTGAGTCTATGGGTAGCTGTGTGAGTCTATGGGTAGCTGTGTGAGTCTATGGGTAGCTGTGTGAGTCTATGGGTAGCTGTGTGAGTCTATGGGTAGCTGTGTGAGTCTATGGGTTTCTATTTTACTGTGTGAGTCTACAGGTCTCTGTGTGAGTCTACGGGTCTGTGTGAGTCTACGGGTCTCTGTGTGAGTCTAGGGGTCTCTGTTACTGTGTGATTCTACAGGTCTCTGTGTGAGCCTATGGGTATCTGTGTGGGTCTATGGGTCTCTGCTACGGTGTAAATCTATGGGTCTCTATGTTACTGTGTGAGTCTATGGGTCTCTGTGTGAGTCTATGGGTCTCTATGTTACTGTGTGCGTCTATGGGTCTCTGTGTGATTCTATGGGTCTCTATGTTACTGTGTTAGTCTATGGGTCTGTGTGTGAGTCTATTTGTCTCTGTTACTGTCAGTCTTTTTCTCTATCTTCCTGTGTGAGTCTATAGGTCTCTGTGAGTTCATGGTTCTCTATTTTACTGTGTGAGTCTGTGGGTCTCTGTGTGAGTCTGGGTCTCTTCGTTACTGTGTGAGTCTATGGGTATTTGTGTTAGTCTATGGGTCTCTATTTTACTGTGTGAGTCTACAGGTCTCTGTGTGAGTCTGTGGGTATCTGTGTGAGTCTTTGGGTCTCTATGTTACTGTGTGAGTCTATGGGTATCTTTGTTACTGTGTGAGTCTATGGGTCTGTGTGTGAGTTTTCGGGTCTCGGTGTGAGTCTATGGGTCTCTGTGTGAGTCTATGGGCCTCTCTGTTACTGTGTGAGTCTGTGGGTCTCTGTGTGAGTCTATGGGTCTTTCTGTTACTGTGTGAGTCTGTGGGTCTCTGTGGGAGTCTATGGTTCTCTGTTTCTGTGTGTGTCTATGGGTATCTGTGCGTCTATGGGTCTGTTACTGTGTGAGTCTATGGGTATTTGTGTTACTGTGTGAGTCTAAGGGTATCTTTGTTACTGTGGGAGTCTATGGGTCTGTGTGTGAGTCTATGGGTCTCTATGTTACTGTGTGAGTCTATGGGTCTCTGTGTGAGTCTACGGGTCTCTATGTGAGTCTACGGGTCTCTATGTTACTGTGTGAGTCTATGGGACTCTGTGTGAGTCTACGGGTCTCTATGTTACTGTGTGAGTCTATGGGTCTGTGTGTGAGTTTTCGGGCTCTGTGTGAGTCTATGGGTCTCTGTGTGAGTCTATGGTTCTCTGTTTCTGTGTGAGTCTATGGGTATCTGTGCGTCTATGGGTTTGGTACTGTGTAAGTCTATGGGTATCTACGTTATTTTATGAATCTGGGTCCCTGTGAGTATTTGTATATTTGTGAGTATGTGTCTCTGCTACTGTCAGTCTTTGTCTCTATCTTCCTGTGTGAGTCTATGGGTCTCTGTGGGTCTATGGGTCTCTGTTACGGTGTAAATCTATGGGTCTATCTTCCTGTGTGAGTCTATGGGTCTCTATGTTACTGTGTGAGTCTGTGGGTCTATGGGTCTCTGTGGGTCTATGGGTCTCTGTGGGTCTATGGGGCTCTTCGTTACTGTGTGAGTCTATGGGTCTCTGTGGGTCTATGGGGCTCTTCGTTACTGTGTGAGTCTGTGGGTCTCTGTGGGTCTATGGGGCTCTTCGTTACTGTGTGAGTCTGTGGGTCTCTGTGGGTCTATGGGTCTCTGTGGGTCTATGGGGCTCTTCGTTACTGTGTGAGTCTGTGGGTCTCTGTTACGGTGTAAATCTATGGGTCTATCTTCCTGTGTGAGTCTATGGGTCTCTATGTTACTGTGTGAGTCTGTGGGTCTCTGTGGGTCTATGGGTCTCTGTGGGTCTATGGGTCTCTGTGGGTCTATGGGGCTCTTCGTTACTGTGTGAGTCTCTGGGTCTCTGTTACGGTGTAAATCTATGGGTCTATCTTCCTGTGTGAGTCTATGGGTCTCTATATTACAGTGTGAGTCTGTGGGTCTCTGTGGTCTATGGGTCTCTGTGGGTCTATGGGTCTCTGTGGGTCTATGGGGCTCTTCGTTACTGTGTGAGTCTGTGGGTCTCTGTTACGGTGTAAATCTATGGGTCTATCTTCCTGTGTGAGTCTATGGG